ACGAATATCTGCATAACACTTACATCTAATAATAAAATGGTACTCGTTTTCTATATTGTTCTCATTACATAAAATATACCTCCTTTCTTCCCTCGGTACGTCTCTGTATCGCCCACGTTCAGTTGCTAAATCATGTACAAATAAACGGATTTTATAAATAATTTTCTGAAAATTAAAATTAACTGGCTTATGTAGGTAGGTTACATGCATTTCTTAGAACCTGTGATATTTCTTAATCAATGGTAAAACATACATAACATTCAAAATATGTTTTCGTTTTATTTAACTATTATCATAATATTCCTATTAAAGAAAACCAAAATTTCATACAAAATACTAAATACATATTATATAATTTTTATATATCCAAGTGTAGGAATAACCGAATGTAATTATCAATCTTTTGTATACGTATGTCTTAAGAAATGTTCTGTGTGAAGCACATGGATTTGGCGCGAATTCCCGACCCACGGTCCATATAGATGTCCTTATAATATACATTGTATATAATATACATATATATTAATCGTGCATCTGGAATTCGTGCCAAATCCCTATGGCTTGAAGCACGTGCAAATCTCAGGTAACAATCAAGGTAAAAATGCACCCCTAATGTGAAACATAATATAATTGACTTGTATTTTTTTCCTTAAACAACACCTTCCTAAAATAATGGCGTTCAGAGAGCATCCCATTTTATTACAACAGCCAACCATGTATCATGGTACAAGGGAGACAACTTCTACTTCGGTGATGACTGTAAAAGATCTTGAATTGTGTGAACTGTGAAAATATCATTATCAAAGATACCGCAACAAGACCTAGTAGTAAAAAAGCTTATATTGTTTCATTGTGCATATATTTGGTTCCCAAAGTTTGATATAAAATGTAACTCAATTCATTGGACAGTACTATTGATGTGGTTAAACAAACCTGCCGAAGGAATTGATATCATCAGTCACAAAGTTTTTTTTAAATATGAAGTAGAAATAGGGAAAAGGATAGACAACTACACGAAAACGGTTGACGCGCACCTTGAAGTCTAACTCTTTCATATTTGAAATAAATCATGAACTGAAGAAGTTCTGTAACATTCAGAGGACTGAACACTTCGCGAAAACTAGGAGGTTTACTAATTAGCGAGTATTTCATAGCATTTGGGAGTCCCTGTTTATATATGTACCCAATGTATCACAGGTGTTGCATGCCTCCACTGGGATTCTAACACGAGACCTCTAGTTTGTTTTAAACTTTATTTTGTTTTGGCAGTGGCATTTCATTCAAAGCATGTTATACAAAAAGGATTCAGAAAGAAGTTATAAACTTTGTTAATCTGTCTCCTTAGAAGTAACAAGCAGGCAGCGACTGATCGAATTTGGGAAAGGGAAAGTGAAAAGAGTTTAGGAAAGGGAAATGAAGTAAGGAAAGTGGATAGAATGATTAGTATAGTATGTATACATTATGCAAGCTCGACAAATACAATACGATAAGGAATGCAAGTTCATCCATAGTAACATATGGGTATCTTAATAAATTGTTAATTATACATGTAGTACTACAAACTGCTGTACTATTAGTTAATACAGATATACAAAAACTCATGAAAGTAAAAGGTTTCGCGTATATGGAAGGAGTACAGTAGTGTTGGCAGTAACTCTTCCTAATGCTCAAATCGTTTAGTCTTTAATATGAAAGTTTGGACACTAACAAATATAGCTTCATTTTCTGCAAATTATAAAAATGTATCGCCAAAAAGAAGGACGTCTACAGATTCAATGTGAAGAAGATGAGAAAGAAAAAGATGTCTACATCTGTTATGATTAGAACAAGATAAAAAGAAATGTTCGGTTGTTTCGTTTCCCATACCACAATCACATATAGGACTATCCACTAGATTTTTACTGAAAAGGTGACCCTTAAGTGAACTACATGGCATTCGTAATCTGGAATGATAAATTTGTCCTAGTCTAGAACCAACATAGAAATATCCTGGAATATTGGAATTAAGGCCATTTAAGTAATTCTTCAGAGTATAAAGAGATGGGTTTTCTTTAACATGCACAGGTAGGGAATTCCAAAGATTTACAGCCGGAGGAAGAAGAGTCTTTGTATAGCTTTGTTCTACATGCAACTGGACGGAAGTTCGCTGCGTCTCTAGTGTTATGGTTATGCAGGTCGGATTGACGAGGTGGAAGAAGGTCATGAAGGAATGACGGCGATAAACCGTGAACTATTTTATGAAACTGGATAATTTTACTATGTTTGCGTCTGGTGGAAAGACTAACCCAACCAGTTTCTTTATAAAGTCTATTTATACTTGTAAGCTTGGTTCCCCCAGTTACGATTCTAGCCGCTTCTAGTTGAATACTTTCTATTACATTTGACTGGGTTGTCGTTATATTATCCCACACGATATTGGCGTATTCTAGAACTGGCCTTATGAAAGAAAAGTACATAGTCTAGTTTACTAGTCTGCGGACGAACTGTAACATGAGGCTAGTATTTTATTAGAGTTACTTCCCCTCGAAGGTTTCTCTAGCCCATCGGTAACGCTAAGAATTATTCCTATGTAATAATGTTGAGGTCAACATCCTCAAACAACTTGGTTCATGAATGTTTATTCCAAATGAGTGATCCATATAACAACACCTATATATAGTACAGAGATTCAGGGTTCCCTTAAATTACATTTTCTGGAGAAAGTCCCTGTCTCCTATATTTTCTCTTTATCAGTCATTTAATTATTTGTCTAAAATATGTTACTTCCCTCCAACATATTCCATTTCGCACGCTATCATTACTCTGCTGATATAGAGTCTAGCCCCTACACTGAAAACGTGCTTCATTTCCCCTCCATATGAAATCCAACTAATCAAAAACATACATGTCAGGTCTACTGGGCATGTCTGGTGTCCAAGTACAGTTCACTTATTGTTCTCCGTTGCCTGGCTTCGTGTTGTATGATTGTATGTGCATGACTTTTTTTTTACATATAGAAAGTTTATTATTTCAACTTATTAAAATCACATTTGTTGTATGTGACGTGTCTGATCGTGGGAGGAAACCCATATCCCTTCAAGGAATCGAACCTCAGAGGCTAGGTTAAAGACAAGTGTGTTACAACTGTGTCACCAAACCACCGCCAGATCATGATGATGCATTGGGTTTTTTTTTTGTTAAAGAAGAATATGATGATGATGATACATCGGTACATATTACGGTATGTGCCAATATTTTGTGAATTTTTTTTCGAAATATAAAGCAAATTTTAAACACACGTTTCAGTGCAGGCATGGAGCAGGCAGTTCAACATTTGAATTTTGTTGACCAACTTGCCCACGTTTCAAGGCAGTGCCTATTTCATATTACTTCACCTGAAGAAATACGAAACAAATAAATAAAATAAAGTTGACTAATGTATAAGTTTGCAGAATCGTTGAGCATGAGAACGACCGAGGTGTTCCGATTTGTCTGATTCATTCAAGCGCTTGATACTGATTGCAGTGTGGTAAGGTGAAGACTAACTATTAAGGTTTTGTCGATATCCACCAACGTGCCATTTAAATATCGCCATTTTCATATTTGTATTCATAAATATGCATTGTTTAAGAGTCTGGGTCAATATCTTTAAAATGAAATATGCTATGATTTGCTTTGGATGGATAAACGATCTCGTATTGAAAACAAAATGGCGGACACCGGTGAAAGGCCAGTCCAAACCACTGGGAACAACAGATCTTATTACCTATCATTAACATTCGATTCGACACCTTTGCTGAGTTTCTTATTCTATCGTCTTACTAAACGCCTGTGAAAAGAAAGTGTTTCATTACTGTGGCAATTAATTACACAACAAAAAACGGAACAAAGCAACCAAGGTTACAAACATAGGAACTAGTTAAGGATCATGTCAGTTTGTTTTTTGACATGAAAAAGGCAAATCCATATGACGAACTATGCCAAAACAATGTAGAACGAACATATAATAAGGTTATCTTGTAGACCTAGTATCAGTCGGGCAGCGCTTTGAAATAGCGAAGCTAATAACATGCCATAATGTCTTTCTAGTTTAAAAGTATCAAGAACACAAACCACCAATAACTGGTTAGTGTTTTAAGAAACGAAGAAAATTTTGTGCACTATAGTGCATAATCAATCATGCTTTGTCTGGCGACGTGCATTGTACATCCAACAACTTTAAGATTTTTGTACTTTTCTCAAAAACCCCTCCACCGATTTCAGTAAAGTTTTGCAGAAAACTTTCCTGGCCCAAGAAGAATAAAAAAAAATAATGAATTACACAGTCTCCAACCCATAGGGGCCTTGGAGTGGATTCAGAAGTGTTTCTCAAAACCCACTCCACTGATTTCAGTGAAGTTTTGCAGAAACCTTCTCTGGCCTAAGATAACCAAAAGTTATGAACTTTACAGTCTCCATCCCATAGGGAGCGGGTCCAAAAGTGTCAAATGGACTAAAATTTAAAATATCTACTCATAAACACCCATATAAGATATAATCAAACGCTCTACATAAATGGAAGCATCTAATGGTGCTTTAACAAAATTGTGAATTTCATGACACCACTGTCTCGCATTTCCCCATGAGGAGGGGGTAAAATTTGCTACATTTACAGGAAAAATAGAGTTTTGGAGCAATTGTTTGTTTAATTTCCATTGGAAATACATGTACATCATGTACAAACTTGGTTAGGATTATCGGCAAAAGATGACAGCTTGATGGTATACACATATAGATCCTGGCTGACCCCAGGGGCTGATGGGCAAGGCCAAACAGGGGGTCAAATTGACTCGGATTTCAAAACTCTGAGTCAGTTTGAAAAAACATGAGTCAATTTCTTGTAATGGCTATATGAATTGACATTTTAGCTAAAGTTAGTGTGTATATATTTACAGTGTCACCTTGGCTATGGGGCAATGTAAAAATTATGATGCCCTGATTTGTTGAAATACAATGTGCGTAAAAGAGCTCCTACACTACTAGTCACTGGATCTTCATACTTGAGGTATAAGTTCACCTTGGTGATGCAGTGTGTCTGTATTAAAAGTAGGTCACTCTGTCCTGCATTTTGATCTTTGTCATACATCAAAGTGAAGTTGTTTGCATTCAGTTTCACATTCAGTGGGGGACTGTACACTTTAGTTTGACAAACTGTGTTCTTTTTAAAATGCTTAAAGATTTTATTAGAACACCTTAGACAAATCAAATTAGATGGGATCGCCTTTTGTTTTGCATTGTGCATTTTAAACTTTGAACATAACTTTGAATATGGTTCCCTACCCCAGGGGGCCTTAGTGACAGGTCCAAAAAGGGTAAAATTGATTGAAAATTCAAAAGTCTTCGTCTCAATACCAAACTATGGTAGATTACAAGTACTCTTCATGGATGGAAATTTCATGACCCCAGGGTCTCGCATTTTCCCTTGTGGAGGAGGTAGAGTTTACCATACTTCATAAAGGAAAATAACATTTTTTAGTGTAATTTGTTTATTTTCTATTGGAAGTAGTTTAAACTTGGTAAGAATTGTTACTATAAGATGACAAATATACCCTGGCTGATTGATGGGGCTTATAAACCAATAAAGGTTATTATTGACTGAAATTTAAATTTTTCAATACCCTGATAAGGTAGAACAAAATATACTTCCTGGATGAAAGTGCCTTAAAATGCTTTACCAAAATTGAAAATTTCATGAGCCCAGGGTCTAGTATTTCCTGCTGGAGAGGGGGTAATGTTTACTTTAATAGGAAAATTACAATTTTGAGCATAATTTGTTTATTTTCTTTTGAAATAGCTCAAACTTGTGGTTAAAACAATTAGTATGACAGTTTGATTATATGCACATATTGATCCTGACTTGTCCAAGGGGGCTGATTGATGGGTTAAAAAGGGTAAAATTGTCTGAAATTTCAAAGATCGGCTCAATACTTGGATGTGATAGAACTATTCATGAATGGAAAGTTTAAATAGGAAAATAACATTTTTTGAGTGCAATTATAGATGGTTGGAAGCGTTAGCATAGGATAGCAGTTATGCACAGTTTACATGTGTATTACATGAACAATGTAGTTACAGTTATTTACTTTATTAAAAAGATCATTTCTATGACATGTTACAAGAAGAATCCTAGCATTGTAAGTGAGGTGACTGTAAATGCCATTGGGCCTCTTTACCTTGTTTGATTGATTAAGATCCTGATTTATTTTGTTTCATTTTTTTTTTTTTTTTTTTGCTGCAGATGTCTGAAGACTGAAGATTGCATGAAGATGCCTACTTTTCGGATTTTAAATAGTTCTTTCTGGACCCTGCGGCAAATTAACAATCTGTCTTTACATCGATGGAAAAGAATATACCCTTGTGTGCCAAATTTATATTACTGTCATTCTGCAGCTTCTGCACAGGTCAACTTGCAGGATAGGCAGGCTGTTATTGTTCATACACGACAGCGGTTGGAAGATAAACGTTTCACGATTAAAGATTCTGATCCAAACAGCAACAAGAAGAGAAACTTACGAGCAGTATTCTTATGTGAACAGTTCAATAAATTGCATTTGTCGTACACTGATGATAAATCTTCAACTAATAGTATTGATTTTGAACAAGTTTTTGAGATGTTCAAATGTATAGGTTCAGATCCTTCTCAACTGTCGTCGAAGGTTGTTGTGGATTGTGTTGCAGCATATGTTAGGCTTTCACTGACTGTTTGTACAAATGAAGCAGAGCAGAATAAATGCCTCACTATGGAGGAGTACTGTAAGTTTGAGACACATTTAAGCAGCATTCTGAATGACTTGTCTTTGGAAAAATTAGTGCAGCTTTATAACACTTTCTTTGAATGCCGCCAGCGGAAAGAGCAAGCTGTTATATTCCAAGCTTGTGAGAAATTACTTCAAGACAGGATGTCTAGTGTTCAAGATCCATCTGATGTTGTCACATTATGTAAAGTTGCTGATGACAATGAATACAGAGTGCTGTGGGACTCCGTTGAAAATTGTATACTTCTGTATGTTGACAAGATGTCTTTAACTGAAATCATGTCTTGTCTGCGATCTATAGTCAACAGAGCTTCTCTCAATGTTAACAATATCAATATGAAGCAACTCCTGTTGAAGCTTTGTTCCAAAACCCTTGAATTTGAAGTTCCGCCACTCTCTTTATACCACCTAACAGTGGTTACCTCAGTTATGAGGAAATTCTCTGTTGTGAATGAAATGTTGCTAAAACAACTTTGTGATAGAATTCTACAGATGAGACCAGGAAAAAATATTGAGGTATCTAAACCTCACACAAAGAAAGTCTGTAACATACTGAATCACATAAGCAGATTTCAATATATTGATGGAAAAGTATTTGACATGATCGTTAATCAGATATTAGATTGGAAAGATTTGACACCAGAAGATGTTCAAGTCAGTGCAAAAGTTTTAATTAATGCTGGTAATCTTAATATGTCTCTCCAAGGAGGTAAAAAACTTCTTCATAAACTTATGGATGCAGAGAAGAATATGCCAACATTGAATTTATATGATCAGGTCCAGTTATTATGGGCCTGCTGTGTTATGGGCCAGGAAAAAAATGAGGTTGTGGCTGAGAAAATTAAGACCTTGTTCCAATCTGAACTGCAGTCATCTTTTGGAGGTAATTATAAAAATAATATCGCATCTTGCTTTGTTGGTCAGATATTATTTAAAGTTTATTAGCTACCATCATCTGATGATGGGCTATTCAAATCACCCTATGTCTGTGGTCAGTCCAAAAAAAACTTCATTATTGCTAATAAAAATTACTGGATGGGTCTTTCTCAAATTTCATTTGTAGGTTTCCCTTGGTCCCTAGTTGTGCCTGTTTCATTTTGGATTGATCAGAAAAACAAAATGGCTGTCAGGTGGCCATGTTGGATTTTTACAATGAAGTTTGTTATTACCATTTCTTGAGAAGCACTTGGGAAAAGGCCTGTAAAGACCTGAGTTTGGGACGTAAAATAAGGGACTTGACAGAGTTACCTCCTTTCTGTAATGTGTTCGCTTGATTTTCCGAAGACTGGAAACAGTACTCCAGTGGAGTAATTATCTTGTGCAACCCAATCCTTGAAAGTGCCCGTAAATAACAGGCTATATTATGGTATACCCTGCGCTGTACATTAACCTTTCCTTGTTAGTGCTCTTTTCCGTTTATTTATAGACTGATTTTGATGAAACTTTATACAAACATTCATATTAAAGTAGTGTGTGCATGAACAACTCTCAGTTACTGAATTTAACAATTATTTTGGCTGAGTTATGCCCCTTGCATGTAATGCAAATATGAACATTGTGTTGAAAAGACAGGAAATTTTTAATTCTGGGGTCAATTTCTTTCAAACTTGATATTGTTGTTCAAGAAGAGAATGAATTTGACAAATATGATGTGCTTTACATGTGACCCTGTCAGAGTTATTTTCCTTTTATTTTTTTCATATTGTTAATCTTGTCCACAGATCTGATCTCTTGTTGCGTATATTTACTGAGTTAAATGTTAATCTTGTCCACAGATCTGATCTCTTGGTGCTTATATTTACTGAGTTAAATGTTAATCTTGTCCACAGATCTGATCTTTTGTTGGGTATATTTACCGAGTTAAATGGTAAACTTGATAAGCATAATTGCCCTGATTTCCTCCAGTGGTGCTCTGTCAATTTATTTTAAGCTTGATACACTGAGTTGCCAAAACATGAAGTTGTGTTTTCCTGAATAGCAGTTTGATTCAACTGAATTTGGAAGAGTTTGTTGTTTTCAAGATGTTTATCTTGTCCCAAGATCTTCTCTCTCGGGTTTCAAGTGATTTCTTTGTAAACTACCATTATATGAAATATTTCGTATAATTATCCTGAATGTCATTGTGATTTTATAATTGTAGGAAAAGTTGTTGTCCTTTGTTAACCTTTGCTATCTTGTCCAGATATTTACCGTCTCAGTTTTTAACCAATTTCTTTGAAACTGGTAGGCTTTAAAACCACAAGATGTGATAGTGTTTTTATAAATAGCATTTTGATTGGGCATATTTCATAAAGTTGCTGCCCTGTGTTATTTTCAGCAATTTGATCTTGTTCAGTGTACATTATACTGTATGTCATGTTGTAGATGATAAGCGTGCGGAAGACCTGATGTTGATGAGGAAACTTCGTGACATCGCCATGACCACTGATATTCCGTTGAACTCGCTTCCTTTTTTACCAAAGTTACAGAAAATGGAACAGCAAAGGGTATGTGCATTACAACAGGTGGCATCACATTGGAATTGTGACAACAAATGAAAATAACACCATACCCAGATTTTCTTTGAAACATCCTGCCTTTTTGACCTTCTTTCAATGGAACATTGTTACATGTGTTATTAAAACTTATTAAATTTACTGGCCTTATCATCTGTCTTACAGGTGTTTGTCATATTAACAATGTATCTTACATATGTAATGACACTTTTTTGACGTAAATAAATAACAATGTCTCAATAGTGAAATTAAGAAAGTTCTGATGTTTTTTGACATTCTTAGTTCACCCAAGTAGTACTAGTAGCTACACTTTATAGTAAATGATAATAGAATCTCAACATTATTCTGTCTATGAAATACATTAAGTTTAGATGATGAACTCAGAAGAAAATTTTAACATCTAGTTTGCCAGAGTCTTACGGAAATTAAAAAGCTCTCAGATTTGTTTAAAAAATTTTGTACATGCATTAAATGGCAATTTGCCAAAAATGATTAGAAAGGATAGATACAGGGCTGCAGTGGCAGAATGGTTAAGGTGTCTGTCCATGACCGTCTTTATCACTAGTTCTCAACCTCAGGGTTGCAGGTCAGTGGACAACAACATACATGGGCAGTCATATCAGGTACTGGCCACAAGTTGGTGGTGTTCTTCAGGAACTTTGGCTTTCCCTCCACCACCCAGAAAGCAATAATAAACATGTATAGATGGTAATGTACCTTGTAGGTACAATGTTGTTGTGTCTGCTTTGTTTTATACATGTTTGTATATATCGGAGACATCTTTACGAGTTTTATTATAACAGCATATAGATTCCTTGTGTAATTGTACCTGTATTTCTTTTTTTTTCTAGAAAATGAGCCAATTTGAGAATGCCATCTCTGACAGTATAGAAATAGGTTTACCCAAAGGTTCTTATAGCAAAGATGTTGTCTCACCAGCAGGGCACAAGATAGGTATGTCCAGTTTTTGATACATGTACTTTCCTTCTATGTTGTGTGTATTACCGCTCTTCCGCCATATGTATCAGCAACATGGCCTTTGCATGTTTGAAATTATTTAACTTTCTATATACCTGTCCTGACAGGACACTATGGTGTGGAGTAGTCTGTCTATTGTCAACTCTAATTTGTCCAGAGATCCTCTTCCACATTTTTAGATTGATCATTTTCAAACTTTATAGTCTTAATCACAATGATATGAAGTTTTCCTGAAAGGTAGTTTGACTTGACTTTTGGAAGAATTACTGCCCCTTGTTGTTTCTGTAATGTTAATCTTGTCAGAAGCTCTATCAATTTCCATCGCTGTCTTTTTAAATTTTGCAGACTTTATAACTATGTCATGACATTGTGTTTTCTTCAATAGCAGTTTGATGCCGTAATTTGTTAAGAGTAATTGCCCTTTCCCTCATCATTTTAATGTTTTAAGCCATTTCTCTTGATAGGCTTTATAGCCATTAATGAAATGGTGTTTTCCTATTTTCCCAATTATTTCAATCTTGTCTGAAAAATTCTTCCCTCTGGTTTGAACAAATGTCTTTGTAGGCTTTAATACTTTAGCAAGAGGTTGTGTTTTCTTAAACAGCATTTTGATTCAACATTACAAAGAGTTACATTCCTTTTTTTTTGTTCAGCATTTTTATTTATTGTTGAATTTTTTCATCTTAAAATTTGCTTTAAGTTATCACCAAAATATATTATGCACAGTATTCTCTCTCTGCATTTTGACTTGATATTATAGTTTCCATATTTGCATTCAATAGTCAGTAGTGAATATTTATGTGGCATGGCAACGGGGTTTGTTTCTCCGCTCTGAAGTATTGTTGCTTAATAAAGAAACATAGGAAGGAACTGATATTGAAAGGAAATCATATTTACTTAAAAAATCTTAATCCAAAATAATGATTTTTTTTTTCGTTATTTCTGAAATGCTTTTATGCACTTAAACTTTAGTTTGATCCTAAACAATTTGTGTTTTGGCCACAAAATAATTGTATGTGACTGCTTACATATTGGTTATAAACACAGCTGATCTTACCCGCACTAGTTCAGTATTACATAGCCCAAACATCTCTTGCAACCTTTGAATATTATTTTTGTCAAAGGAGAAAAAAAATTGAGACATGGAATAAATACATGCACTTCAATATGAACCTATTTTGGGTTGCACTAATTATGTAACTTTTGAACTCTTTCAGAAATTGAACTCTATGTGGATGACAGCGGCAAAGCAGTAGCTAAAGATGAAAAGAGAGAAGACCTACACCGGTAGAGTAACAATATTATGATGCTCTGTTAATTAATTTTTTGAAAGGGCTTATGCTGCGTAAGCCATGGCTCGTCTACAGAATTAATAAGATTTAGCCTCTGGTATTGATAGAAGAAGAGGCCCAAGGGAATTTTATGGTCATCAGAGCTATTCAAATCACCCTACGTCCATGGTTGTCGGTCAATAAACACTTTTTTGTGATCGCTATTTCTTCAGAGGTAATGGATGAATCTCTCTCAATTTTATATAAGGTTCCTCAATGTCCTTAGTTGTGCCTGTTTGATTTTGGAATTGATCAAAAAACCAAAATGGCCAACAACAGACGACGATATTGTATTTGGCAGTTAAAGATTATTATAGCTACTTCTTCAGAGGAATGTTCAAATTTCGTATAATTACTGGTAAAAACAGAGGAGAGAAGAGAAAAAAGAGAAAAGACACTAGTTTTAAAAAAATAATAAAAATCAAACAATGAAAGGCACCAATAATCCCTCTTTAGTTGTTAAATTTGTGTCATAGGAAGTCTCTAAGAACATAACTGCATTGAACATCTAATCTAATGCAATTGTAGCATTGGAATTGCCATCCAATCTTAATCATTCATTGAGAATCCAGATTTGAATAATTATTATAAGGAAATTGAGCAAATATGCCCCATCTTTGTTTTCTGGGGGCAAATGTGAAACCTTGGGGTCATAAAATTTTCAGTTTAGTTAAGCACCTTGAACCCTTCAATCCATGAAGCATTTGATTCTATTGTATATGGGTCTCCAAAATCCCTGAACCAATGTTGATGAAATTTTGCAGAAACCTTCCATGGTGAAAGGTGCACCAAACTGAATAAGAGAGTTCTGGTCCCCTGGGGGCCTGAGGGGTGGTGCCAAAAGTTGTAGAATAAACTTTAATTTGAAAAAAATTATCTCAAATTTGTTTTCATTTTTTCCTTATTTGGTCTGAAGCATTCTGTGTGACAGTTAATTATTTTTTTTGTAAATCGTGGGTTTCAGCCCCCTTGGGCCAGAAGGGACTGAGCCCAATAGGGAAAGTAATGCGAATTCTTTAAAATCCTACTCCTCCTGTAGGAATGATTTGATTTTGCCTAAATTTGGTATTAAGTGACGCAGTCCCTTTGGGCATCTTATTGACCAAAGTATGTTTGATTTCAATTGGAAATATTTAAACTTGCTTTGAATTATTACTATAGAATGGCAGTGCACACATTGACCCTTGCTGACTCCAAGGCGCTGATGAGCAGGGCCAAAGGGACCAATTTTACTAACATTTGAAAAATCTTCCTCTAATGCCCAGGTATTGTGGATTCAAATACTCCTTCATTTGTTGCATCCTGAGTATTTTTTATACTCTTTCCTTTTGTTTTATACAGGGTTGCTGTGAAAGGAAGGGGATACTTCACATACTCCAAGCCAGACAATCGTCCTTTAGGCTGGGTGGTAATGGAGAATCAAAACCTTGCCAAGGAAGGCTTCAAGGTGTTAGAGGTAGAGCTCATACATAGAAGACATGTTTTGTAAATTTTTATATGATAGGGTGGGGATAAAGTGTTACCCTTTGTTCCTAAAACATACTCCAGACATCTTTTTACCCAATACATGGTCCAGGCACCTTTATTCTCAATAGACAGTCAAGACACCTTTGTCCTCATAAGATGATCTAGACACCATTATACTCAATATATAATCCAGACACTGTTGTTCTCAATAGATTATCTAGTTACCTTTGTTTCCAATAGATAATCTAGTTCCCTTTGTTTCCAATAGATAATCTAGTTATCTTTGTTCTCAATAGGTAATCCAGACACCTTTATTCCAATAGATAATCTAGTTACCTTTGTTCTCAATAGATAATCTAGTTATCTTTGATCTCAATAGATAATCTAAGGTACCATTGTTTTCAATAAATAATCTAGTTACCTTTATTCCAATAGATAATCTGGTTACCTTTGTTCTCAATCGATAATCTGGTTACCTTTGTTCTCAATCGATAATCTGGTTACCTTTGTTCTCAATCGATAATCTGGTTACCTTTGTTCTCAATAGATAATCTAGTTATCTTTGTTCTCAATAGATAATCTAGTTATCTTTGTTCTCAATAGATAATCTAGTTATCTTTGTTCTCAATAGATAATCTAGTTACCTTTGTTCTCAATAGATAATCTGGTTACCTTTGTTCTCAATCGATAATCTAGTTATCTTTGTTCTCAATAGATAATCTAGTTATCTTTGTTTTCAATAAATAATCTAGTTACCTTTATTCCAATAGATAATCTGGTTACCTTTGTTCTCAATCGATAATCTGGTTACCTTTGTTCTCAATAGATAATCTAGTTACCTTTGTTTTCAATAAATAATCTAGTTACCTTTATTCCAATAGATAATCTAGTTACCTTTGTTTCCAATATATAATCTAGTTACCGTTGTTCTCAATAGATAATCTAGTTACCTTTGTTTTCAATAAATAATCTAGTTACCTTTGTTTTCAATAAATAATCTAGTTACCTTTATTCCAATAGATAATCTAGTTACCTTTGTTCTCATTAGATAATCTAGTTACCTTTATTCCAATATATAATCTAGTTACCTTTGTTTCCAATATATAATCTAGTTACCTTTGTTCTCAATAAATAATCTAGTTACCTTTATTCCAATAGATAATCTAGTTACCTTTGTTCTCATTAGATAATCTAGTTACCTTTGTTTTCAATAGATAATCTAGTTACCTTTGTTTCCAATATATAATCTAGTTACCGTTGTTCTCAATAGATAATCTAGTTACCTTTGTTTTCAATATATAATCTAGTTACCTTTATTCCAATAGATAATCTAGTTACCTTTGTTCTCAATAAATAATCTAGTTACCTTTGTTCTCAATAGATAATCTAGTTACCTTTGTTCTCAATATATAATCTAGTTACCTTTGTTTCCAATATATAATCTAGTTACCTTTGTTTCCAATATATAATCTAGTTACCGTTGTTCTCAATAGATAATCTAGTTACCTTTGTTTTCAATAAATAATCTAGTTACCTTTATTCCAATAGATAATCTAGTTACCTTTGTTCTCAATAAATAATCTAGTTACCTTTGTTCTCAATAGATAATCTAGTTACCTTTGTTCTCAATATATAATCTAGTTACCTTTGTTTCCAATATATAATCTAGTTACCTTTGTTTCCAATATATAATCTAGTTACCATTGTTTTCAATAGATAATCTAGTTACCATTGTTTCCAATAGATAATCTAGTTACCTTTGTTTCCAATAAATAATCTAGTTTCCTTTGTTTTCAATAGATAAATATAGTAACTTTGTTTTCAATAAATAATTCAAACATATCTGTTCTAAAAAGATGATCCGGTAGCTTGAATTAAAAATAAATCTACATATTGGTAATTTTGCTACTTTTGACCCTAACTTGGCAAGGAGAGTAGCTTTTATGAGGTCTGGATTACTTGGAAATTGTGAATAGGAAAAACCATTTCATTTAAGCAGGAATTGAAAAAATAATTCATGCTTTTTGAATAAATTTGTAGATTGACAATTTATTCTATTATTCAACTTTCTATAAAACACATTGATACTTTCTTTATTTATGCCCATACCAGTGTAATTTACAGTTGTAGTGTCATCTTTTGGATTAAAAAAAGAAACTTCTATGACAGCTGATTGATAAGTTGTGAGCGTTGTATTGAAGATGTTTAGAGATATCCTTCTCAGCTGTACTATTCCCAAACTATTTAAGGCTGTGTACCTGAAGACTGATGTCATTTGGTCTCTTTATGAGGTGGCACTCTAAAGTAAACAAGGTAAATGACTTTTGCAAAATGGGCAGAATTGCTGAAAGAGCAGTAATACATGCATAAGAAACGTCTAGCATCTAAGGATATCCATACTAATGCAGAAAAAAGGTGTGTTGTTCCACCAGGACAATGCTCCTGTTCACAAGTCTGTCTTTGGCATGGCTGCCATTAACTATTGTGGCTTTGAATTGATTGAGCATCTGCCTTATTCACCTGATCTGGCTCCATCAGACTTCCATCTATATCCAAACTTGAAAAAAGGCCATCTTCTGTCTCTGGTCAAATGATAACGTCATACATGCAGAAGAGGACTTTCTGAATGGTCAAGAATGGGACTTCTTTACAAATGGCACTGAGGCCCTTCAACATCGCTGGGAAAAATGTATAAATGCTGAAGGGGATTATTTTGAAAAAAAAAATGCAATAAGTCTGCCAGAAGTCAAACCCTTAAGTATGAGGCTCACAACTTATCAATCAGTCCTTATATGTAGAGATTGCACCTAAGAATATAGGCGTACACTTTGAGAGATATTGAACAATTTATGTCCTTTTTCTGGGAAGAAATTGATATTGTAGTTCTTTATTTCATTTTTATTATTTTTTTCAGATACCACATTACGATTGGATGAAAATTGGGAAGAAAACAGACAAATTAAGCTACCTCTTAGAAAAGATTAAGGATGTTATACCTTCTACGCAGCCTTAACTGAAAATGACACTTAATTGAAAGAGAATAAATAGTTTGAAATTCAGATTTGTTAAACCAATTTAGATTCATCAGCCAAACTTTTGGAAGCTTGCTGCAGAAAAAAAGACAACTTGAAACAACTTAATTGGAGCAGATAAATCTGCAACATTATGTTCAATTTTGAATCCAAAGGACTTAAAAAAGTTCTTAAAAGTAGATTTATTGAATATATGACTGGTCAACTTGGAAGTGTATGCATTAAAGACAAAAAAGATGCCTTTGAAACCAACACTTCCCATGTGTGTATAGTCATTGTTTAATTTGGCAAAAATTGAGATGATTTTAAAATTTTCCTGTATATATGTTTAACACTTAAACATTATATAAAAAAAGTTGAATTAGATATTTGTACTTTGCACAGATGGTGAAATTTGAATTTTTTAACAGTTTATATTAATGGTAAAAGTTGAAATGCAATAGAAGTTTTCTGGTATGTGGTATAGACTGCTTGATTAGATGTTAAAGGTGAAAATATTAAATTTGTGATAAAAATTAAATACATAAAGTAAGAATTCTGATCTTGAAATCCATCACAAGATCTCCAAAAATGTAGTCAAGAATATTCTGTAAATGACCATGTACAATTAAAGGGTCATTCTTACCTGTATTTGTACATAATGTTTTCCTTGTCCAGGGAGAATGTGACAGATGTATGATATGGACTCCTGCTAGTCATCATTATTTTTGTTGGAGATCAGTGTGTTGATAATTGGTGGCAATCTGCATTGAATGTTTGTTCTCACAAGTTACTGTTAGCAAATTAAAATACACTGTACATATATATACCCGAAAATGATACTTACAGGAAAAGGACTGAAAAAAATACCAGCAAAAAACCTGAAAACTAACCAGGTCTTATCCTGCAACCTGGAAGTGATGAGCCTTGAATACATTGTTAGTGAGATTGCCACCAGCAAGGAAGCTACATCTCAAAATGACCCTGGCTGTTTAGGGGCAATAAAAGCAGCAAACAAGCTCATCATTGGTCATAATATCTATGTAAAAAAAATGTGAATAAGGCGTAATATTTATTTATTGTGTTGTCAACTTTAAATGGGACTTCAATAGCTCAATGGGTAGAGCTTTGTGCCTATGTATTCTCCGATGTGAAGATCCCGAGATTCAACACTCTATACCCGTGGCAGTTCTCAGCAAAAGGAGCAGTCTGTACTGTGATTATGTAATTGGGAAAGGCAATGTGCCCTAATTGCTCTGGATAGCATGTGACGGGCCTTGTATATAATCTTCAGTAGCTCATGGCTATGTCTCAGAATGGCCTTGGCTGTTTACAAGGAAGTGAAACCAGCAAATAAAAAATTTTCATGGGTCATAATCATTTTCAAAAGTGTATGATTTAGATGTAATACCGATTTATTTCATGGTCAGCATTAGATGTCAGCTTTTAAAATTTTATCTGAATATTGTGACCAATTGTAGAAAAAAGGCATAAAATCTATTACTGTTATTTCAGGTGATGCTGATCAAGATGGTTCAAGATCTTTATAGAAACTTGCCTTTTAGATCTTACATCTGTATATATTGTTTAATGAAATGTGTTAAGATACTGAAAGAGGTATTTTTGATAGATTCAAAGTTTTCATTATTTTTTGAATGGATTAAAACTGAAAATAATGCAGCGAAAATGAAATTTAGAGGAAAGAATAATCTGGTTTGATAAGATTTACACCATATTTTCCTTCCTGCTTTTGGTAAAAACATGACATTCTGGACCTATCATTCTTAGGAGGTGCAAATTGTAAACACCAGTTATAAATTTGTCCTGAAAAATCTTGATATAGATTTTACCTGCAATGGAGTTGTTGATAAGTGTGTGTTCTGGGGAAAATGTTCTAAGATATTTTCTGAATGTTGAAGTGCTATGTTTGTAAAATAGTGGGTAATGTAATGAAATAGGAATGAAATATTATTGGAGGCAACAACTCTTGTGATATAAATTTGAATAAATAATGTACAATCTCGCTGTATTTGATATTTGATATTGTAAAAGTATTTGTGAATAATATATATATATACATCAAGCACCACTGTTAACCCAAACCCCATTCCCCCCAAAAAAACCAAGCAAACAGAAAAACTTTCATATGCAAGTCACTTGTCCTCCCAAAATGAGCACGATTTTTGACACGCCACAACAGCTGATTAAACCATGTCAATAATTCCGCACCGGATAACATGAATTATTACTTCACTGCTTAATCCCCAGCGGTGCTCAGACATTGACTAGGGGAATGCACAACTGTTAGGAAGGAGCGCCTCGACAGACTGCTTATCCTCAATTTTTATGTAACATTTTCCTCTCGTCCCAATATTTCATCGATCTAAAATGGCGACAAAGTCAACTAAATTTTCATTAATTATCCCTTGCAATTTGAGAGTGGATGTCATCTATCTGCTATTAAGTGATAAATATAAATGTCTACGTTTAGCTCAATTCAATATCAATATCAATCTTTACAAAGTGTCATCCTGGCTCTTCATTGTTGTTACCATAGCCGTGTAATCTATCCTGGCTCTTCACGTGTTGTTACCATAGCCGTGTAATCTATCCTGGCTCTTCACGTGTTGTTACCATAGCCATGTAATCTATCCTGGCTCTTCACGTGTAGTTTCCATAGCCGTGTAATCTATCCTGGCTCTTCACGTGTAGTTTCCATAGCCGTGTAATCTATCCTGGCTCTTCACGTGTAGAGTTCCATAGCCGTGTAATCTATCCTGGCCCTCAATTCACGTGTAGAGTTTCCATAGCCATGTAATCAATCCTGGCTCTTCACGTGTAGAGTGCCATAGCCGTGTAATCAATCCTGGCCCTCAATTCACGTGTAGAGTTCCATAGCCGTGTAATCAATCCTGGCCCTCAATTCACGTGTAGTTTCCATAGCTGTGTAATCAATCCTGGCCCTCAATTCACGTGTAGATTTCCATAGCCGTGTAATCAATCCTGGCTCTTCACGTGTAGTTTCCATAGCCGTGTAATCAATCCTGGCTTTTCACGTGTAGTTTCCATAGCCGTGTAATCTATCCTGGCTCTTCACGTGTAGTTTTAATAGCCGTGTAATCAATCCTGGCCCTCAATTCACGTGTAGAGTTCCATAGCCGTGTAATCAATCCTGGCCCTCAATTCACGTGTAGTTTCCATAGCCGTGTAATCAATCCTGGCCCTCAATTCACGTGTAGATTTCCATAGCCGTGTAATCAATCCTGGCTCTTCACGTGTAGTTTCCAGAGCCGTGTAATCAATCCTGGCTCTTCACGTGTAGTTTCCATAGCCGTGTAATCTATCCTGGCCCTCAATTCACGTGTAGAGTTCCATAGCCGTGTAATCAATCCTGGCTCTTCACGTGTAGAGTTCCATAGCCGTGTAATATATCCTGGCTATTCACGTGTAGTTTCCATAGCCGTGTAATCTATCCTGGCTCTTCACGTGTAGTTTCCATAGCCGTATAATCTATCCTGGCTCTTCACGTGTAGTTTCCATAGCCGTGTAATCTATCCTGGCCCTCAATTCACGTGTAGAGTTCCATAGCCGTGTAATATATCCTGGCTATTCACGTGTAGAGTTCCATAGCCGTGTAATCAATCCTGGCTCTTCACGTGTAGATTTCCATAGCCGTGTAATCAATCCTGGCTCTTCACGTGTAGTTTCCATAGCCGTGTAATCTATCCTAGCTCTTCACGTGTAGAGTTCCATAGCCGTATAATCTATCCTGGCTCTTAACATGTAGAGTTCCATAGCCGTGTAATCTATCCTGGCCGCCACTTCACGTGTAGTTTCCATAGCCGTGTAATCAATCCTGGTTCCTCACATGTAGAGTTCCATAGCCGTGTAATCTATCCTGGCCGCCAATTCACGTGTAGTTTCCATAGCCGTGTAATTAATCCTTGCCCTCAATTCACGTGTAGAGTTCCATAGCCGTATAGTCAATCCTGGCCCTCAATTCACGTGTAGAATTTCCATAGCTATGTAATTTATCTTAATTCCTATCTTACGTGTAGTTTACATAGTGTGCAATTTATCTTGATTCCAACGAGACAAGTTGTGACACCTGACAGGTCAGTACATGTTAATGCCTTCTCGGGTTTCTCTTGTAAAAAAGCTCTCTTTTTGTCTTATTGATTAATTTAACAGGTAGAGGTTCACACATTTATAATTTCGCTATTGAAAACACTGATTTTGGTTTCCAAAACGGTCCTTGTGGTCATATATATACTATATGTGTACTTCGCTGTAACGTGAATATTGATTCACTACATAACAGGAATTGTTTGAATTCAGACAACGACGAGTTGAGAAAAAAATTTATCAAACGTGGGCATCAACAACCATGATTATTTATAAATTGATTTGCTGTTCTGATGTTTCCCTTGAATCTGTTTCCTGATTAAAAGTGTCGTTTAAATTACGAGGATTGATGGCATAGCTATGGAAACTCGTCACGTGAGGATAGGAATTAGGATATATAACATAGCTATGGAAACTCTAAACGTGAGGATAGGAATTAGGATATATAACAGAGCTATGGAAATATAACATAGCTATGGAAACTCTAAACGTGAGGATAGGAATTAGGATATATAACATAGCTATGGAAACTCTAAACGTGAGGATAGGAATTAGGATATATAACATAACATAGCTATGGAAACTCGTCACGTGAGGATAGGAATTAGGATATATAACATAGCTATGGAAACTCTAAACGTGAGGATAGGAATCATGATATATAACATAGCTATGGAAACTCGTCACGTGAGGATAGGAATCATGATATGTAACATAGCTATGGAAACTCTTCACGTGAGGATAGGAATTAGGATATATAACATAGCTATGGAAACTCTAAACGTGAGGATAGGAATTAGGATATATAACATAGCTATGGAAACTCGTCACGTGAGGATAGGAATTAGGATATATAACATAGCTATGGAAACTCTAAACGTGAGGATAGGAATTAGGATATATAACATAGCTATGGAAACTACACGTGAGGATAGAAATTAGGATATATAACATAGCTATGGAAACTGTACACGTGAAGATAGGAATTAGGATATATAACATAGCTATGGAAACTCGTCACGTGAGGATAGGAATCATGATATATAACATAGCTATGGAAACTCTAAACGTGAGGATAGGAATTAGGATATATAACATAGCTATGGAAACTCTAAACGTGAGGATAGGAATCATGATATATAACATAGCTATGGAAACTCTAAACGTGAGGATAGGAATTAGGATATATAACATAGCTATGGAAACTCTAAACGTGAGGATGGAATCATGATATATAACATAGCGTGAGGATAGGAATTAGGATATATATGGAAACTCTAAACGTGAGGATAGGAATTAGGATATATAACATAGCTATGGAAACTCTAAACGTGAGGATAGGAATCATGATATATAACATAGCTATGGAAACTCTAAACGTGAGGATAGGAATTAGGATATATAAAATATCTATCGAAACTCTAAACGGGAGGATAGGAATTATGATATATAACATAGCTATGGAAACTCTAAACGTGAGGATAGGAATCATGATATATAACATAGCTATGGAAACTCTAAACGTGAGGATAGGAATTAGGATATATAACATAGCTATGGAAACTCTAAACGTGAGGATAGGAATTAGGATATATAACATAGCTATGGAAACTCTAAACGTGAGGATAGGAATTAGGATATATAACATAGCTATGGAAACTCTAAACGTGAGGATAGGAATTAGGATATATAACATAGCTATGGAAACTCTAAACGTGAGGATAGGAATTAGGATATATAACATAGCTATGGAAACTCTAAACGTGAGGATAGGAATTAGGATATATAACATAGCTATGGAAACTCTAAACGTGAGGATAGGAATTAGGATATATAACATAGCTATGGAAACTCTACACGTGAGGATAGGAATTAGGATATATAACATAGCTATGGAAACTCGTCACGTGAGGATAGGAATCATGATATATAACATAGCTATGGAAACTCGTCACGTGAGGATAGGAATTAGGATATATAACATAGCTATGGAAACTCTAAACGTGAGGATAGGAATTAGGATATATAACATAGCTATGGAAACTCTAAACGTGATATATAACATGGATAGGAATTAGGATATATAACATAGCTATGGAAACTCTAAACGTGAGGATAGGAATTAGGATATATAACATAGCTATGGAAACTCTAAACGTGTGATAGGATAGGAATCATAGGATATATAACATAGCTATGGAAACTCGTCACGTGAGGATAGGAATTAGGATATATAACATAGCTGAAGATAGGAATTAGGATATATAACATACTATGGAAACTCTAAACGTGAAGATAGGAATCATGATATATAACATAGCTATGGAAACTTATGATATATCACGTGAGGATAGGAATTAGGATATATAACATAGCTATGGAAACTCTTCACGTGAGGATAGGAATTAGGATATATAACATAGCTATGGAAACTCTAAACGTGAAGATAGGAATCATGATATATAACATAGCTATGGAAACTCGTCACGTGAGGATAGGAATTAGGATATATAACATAGCTATGGAAACTCTTCACGTGAAGATAGGAATTAGGATATATAACATAGCTATGGAAACTCTAAACGTGAAGATAGGAATCATGATATATAACATGGCTATGGAAACTCTTCACGTGAGGATAGGAATTAGGATATATAACATAGCTATGGAAACTCTACACGTGAAGATAGGAATCAATATATATATATATATATATATATATATATATATAACATAGCTTAGTTAGGCGTTTGTATAAAATTACATAGCTATGGAAACTCTACACGCGAAGGATTAACTTTCTAATTATGGATTAGTACACCTTCACAGTTTGACCTTTTTATACTCTCAATTTGTCTCAGTTGCCTCCTAGGTTTCAAAATTTTAAAACCTTGATCA